CATTTGTTCGAAAGATAAATGAACAGGCTTTAAAATAAGCCTAAAACCGTTTTATTAGAAGTAGCAGTCCGAAAGTTATTAAGCACAAAAGTTGGACTCCGTTTTTTTTATACACCCTGTATAATGAGTGTCCCTATATGTCGTGTGTCGTGGGTTAAAAGTCGTGTGTCGTGGGTAAAGTCGTGGGTAAAGTCGTGGGTCATAAAATGTGCTAAAAACGCATTTTTCCATATTTTTATTTTTAATATTTTTTTCGTACTTTTTCCTTTTATGCGCTAGATAAATACAGGAAAATTTAACGCAACAAATCTCCAGTAATAAAACAATTTCTCATCTTGCTGTTATCTATAGTATAACAAGTAAATGTTTCCGTTTCGTATAGTCTTATAATAAGTTCGCTATAAATGTATTGTTTGATGATAAAATGTCCTAAGTTATAGGATATTAGGATATAGGTTTATTAGCTTTGGAAGTGTTATAGTCCCTATCATGAACGTCACGAATAACTATGTCGATTGCATATGTCTGATACAAACATATTGAGCTATAAATTCTAAGTGGCCAACGCTCGAGCCTCAAATTTTGCTATTTTATCTCCTAGACCTAGTATATGTTTGTGGCCCTTAGAAGACAAGTAGACAAACATTTCATGTGTATGTGGCGTTCGGACTGGAATATTCCACAAATTGCTACTATTTGGGATTTCGCGATTGAAAACCGAAATCATTTGTGCGATGTCACCATGTCGGGCTATTTGCCAACCGAGCATGCTAGCCGCTGTTATTTTGACAGAATATGATACCTCTACACTTTTTGTAATACATAATGTGCGGATTGATAACATAGAACGAGTCCAGAGAAGAGTTACATCCATAATCTTTCCCGGTTTGTCTTACAGCGAGCATTTGGACAAAGCTAACTTGACACTCTTAAGCGATCGTCGAAGGCATGCCTGCTCCAAACTATACAATCAGATAACTAAGGACCCTGCACACAAGCTGTCGAATTTGTTTCCTGCACGTCCACCTATCACCAATGACTTGCGTAGTATACGTGTCTTCCAAACACCAGTGATTAAAACTGATAGATTTTTAAAAACATTTATTCCTTCTTGTATTAAAGAATTCTCTTAAGCCTAATATTCGTAGTTTTAACTTTGTAAATACATAATTTATATACTGAGTTACACACTTTAATATATTTGTAACGTTCTTTTATATACATTTTTAGATAAACTTTATTGTCATAATTACCATTGTTGTAAAGTAACACGCAATCCAGTCGTACTCGGCTGCAATGTGTTTTCTTATTAAATCAATCAATCAATCTATCTATCTATCTATCTATCAGATTGTAATCATATACATATTGTTTAATTTAGCTTCAAAAACTTATTTTGTTAAATGTAAAATGCGCAGCATGTTGCGTACATTAATATCAAAGAAAGAAGGTTGACTTTATTAGACTGAAATAAGCAAGATTTCCCGTTATACATACATGATTTATACCGAGGCGGCTTTGCATGTGCTCTGCCTCTGGCAACTATGACACTATTGCGCTCAGTGGGAACCAATACGAATAACATGTTTTTTATCAAGTTTTTGAAGCTAAATTAAACGATCTGTATATGATTGCAATGCGTGCTGAAAATTACGGCTGAAAAGTGTAGAGGTATCATATTCTGTCGAAATAACAGCGGCTAGCGCGCTCGGTTGGCAATTAGCCCGACATCGCACAAATCATTTCGGTTCTTAATCGGGAAATCCCAAATCGTAGCAATTTATGGAATATTTCTGAACGCCACATACACATGAAATGTTTGTCTACCTTTAAGGGCCACGAACATATACTAGGTCTAGGAGATAAATAGCAAAATTTGAGGCTCGAGGCACTGGCCGCACTGCAGCGTAAAATTTATAGCTCAATATGTTGAAATATGTTTGTATCAGACATATGCAGTCAACATAGTTATTCACGACGTTCATGATAGGGACTAGAACACTTCCAAAGCTAACTGATAAACCTAGTCCTATAACTTAAGACATTTTATCATCAAACAATAAATTTATACTCTATAGGCTAATTAGACTATACGAAACGGAAACAAAATCAAACATTTACTTGTTATACTATAGGTAACAGCAAGATAAGAAATTATTTTATTACTGGAGATTTGTTGCGTTAAATTTTCCTGTATTTATCTAATGCATAAATGGAAAAAGTACGAAAAAAATATTAAAAATAAAAATAATCTCTTCGTGAAAAAATGTCTTTTTAGCACATTTTATGACACACGACTTTTAACCCACGACACACAACATATAGGGACACTCGTCTATAATATAGCATTTGTAAATTCCGAACGTTGATTGGCTAAGAGCCGTGTTGATATAACTCAATGTCAACACAAGAAATTTTCCGCCGCTTGTAAACATAAAACATTTTTTCTGTATTGATATATAGTTATATCAACACTCGTGAGAGTGTAACAAGTGTTGTCCTTGCCTGTTGCTCGCTACACAACTATTTGATGAAGAAATCAACATGGCAGCATATGGACATGGAGGTCAATGGCAACCTATATGAGGGCAGTTGGAGAAATGAAGTCGACTCAAGTAAGCTGGAGTCATCACCAAAATGTAGGCAAAGGTGCCCGAAAAATGCCGAGCAAATGAGAGACATAATATGTGATTATGTCAACGGCCCAGGCAGGTGCCAATTTCATGGCAAAGAATTATTTTTGAATTTACGATTCAAATACTGCACAAACAAAACGCATGCATTTCAACAATCAACATATGCATACATATAATCAATAATTATCGTTCGATTCGGTCCCAGCTCTAACACATGTATCGACCGATTTCAAATTTATTTATATTCGTTTCTTTTTTGGTTGGGACAGAAATGTTCAAACGTCAAGATATTTTAAGCAAAACCATATTTGTAAAACTGTCAATTAAGTGAAAAAATGATCTGGATATAATCTGGGGGCGTTCAGTATGTCATGTGAAAATTCATCGAAGATAATGACCTCGGAAGACACAAAAAAAGCAGTAAACTGGCAAACATTTTTAATAGTTCTTTTGGGTTTTTTTTCATTTCTCAAAACTCAATATTCAATCACCGTTTCAAACTCAGGTTCATTTTTTACTTCTAAAAGTGTTAAACTACAAGATATCAGTAAAATAAGAAACATGCTTTTAATTTACTGCATGGACTTTGATATAGAGATTCACAACAACAAAGTCAAAAACGATTTAAACTAGGTACTTCTAAAAGTTGACAGTATTTGATATAATAACAATTTAATGTAAACAAAATGTTCGCATTGTATCAAAATCGGCAGAGAAGTTAAGGAATATATCATAGCCATAGGACGAATGCAAAACTAGCTAATTTATAAAATTTGAAAAGGACATGTTCATGGGATAAACTCATAGGCTCTTTGCTTGGCACTGTATGGGTTGGCACTGAAGTCAAAATGCAACATTTCCTGTACAAAACATTGTAGCAGACGATAAAGTTCAGAACAATTTCAAAACAAATCTTTTGGGTAAAAAAGGAAAAGAACAAAAACGTCATCGCCAATATGATATAGAATTACCTGTAACTCTTTTGACGTCGTTTTCTTCGTACCCCAAGGCTTCATTCACACTTTTTGACCACACGTTTCTGGTGAGTCCATTGCTGATGATGCTTCTGGTGAATCCATTTGGCTGTGGTTCATTTACATTTATCACGTTGCTTTGACCAGCATCGGTTGACTGCACCAAAACACATTCTTTTACAACCTATTTAAATAAACAATTTGTGATAAAAATTGCACTATACTGAAATAAGTGAGAATGAAATTTGCCATCGAAAGTAAAACATAATAAAATCGCTGATAATATAGAGCATTATTGTACATACCATTCTCTTGGCTCTTGCAGACAAAGGTTTGTTGTCTGAATCGCAACAATACCAATTTCGTCAGTAGCTAGCCGCGGTGTTAAAAAGTTAGTGCCACAAAGTCAACCCACTGTTTGTGTATCTTTTTCGCTTCGGGCCTCTCGTCTCCAGCAAAAGGTATAAAATGAAGTGAAATGCCTTTCTCTGTATCTGTGACATTAAAACAACCACCTACTACACATGTATTTGGCATTTTTTCAGTTTCATGACTTTTATTTGCGCTATTGCCTTCTCTATGATAGTACACGCAATAGAGTTTCTATATTAGTGAGCTAGATGAGTTCCAACTATTATGTCACACGCATTGTTTTGTCCCCCATCTCTTTTGCACAGTGTTCAGATTTTTTGCAAGGCGAAATTCAATGTTTAAATGGCAATAACTTTTAGACTAAAAAAGCAATTTTGATTCTGTTTTCGAATTTCCGTACATTGTGTATCATAGATTTCAAAAATATAAACTCTCATTTTGTGACAGGGACACTTAACAGCTGGCAAGCAACATCAGTTTCCATTACTTGGAAGACTCTTTATAATTTAATCAGCAGTCATGTACAATTGGAGGTTTAGATGTTCTCTTGCTGTGTTCACAAGTATGGCATTTTTTATTCCTGGTGGAAAACCCCAGCACCTTTCCAGAGTTCAAGATCATTGCTGCTCCATGGCCATTCGATGAATTAAATGCATGAACGACCACACTTCTGCCAGCCCATGTTGTATGAACATGTAATGTCGACAAGGCCATCAGTATCCTCAATGCTCCCATTTTCTAGTGCAAGAGACCATTCTCCATGTGTGGCATCATACAACTCTGTCTTACGACTTTCTCAACACCCCTGCCAATTTTCCTTTCTGGTTGTTTAAATGTACCCTGACTAAGTGGTGGTATGTTAAGGGTTGGGAGGATTTTTCCCAAGTTGTGACTCGCCAATCCACATATTTAAGATAGCTAAAACTGCCCGGGTGTTGTTGTCAAATGCCAAAGCCCCTCTCGAGTGCCAGCTTTATGGGTTTGAGAGGTTTTTATATCATTAACAGTGCTACATTTGTCACAATAAATATGCAAGGTACTTGCTAGACCCATCTTCTCTTCCCCCATCATATTTGTTAATGATAAAGGACCTGCAAGAATAGAATATGTTCAATAATTATAAATAGTTCAGAATATTTACCCCTTTTTGAGGGTGAAGTAAGGCTAATATCTGGCCTTCATTATGACTAACCCCAGATGTTACTCATCAGAGTGAGAGCATTTGCCTTATATAAGGGTTAAATATTCTCGTTTGAAATAATTGAAAAGTTTTCTAAATATAAATTCAATACCTTTTCCACTTGAATAACATGATTTCAATGCATTGGTTATTATATCCATGTCAAGCACTCTTGAACCCATTGGTTTTTGTGTATTTTCTCTATTTTGTTTATCCAACTACAATAATAAATAGTTACCAGAACTCTCTTTAATATAGAGTTTGATTATATTTGGGTTACCAGAACTCTCTTTAATATAGAGTTTGATTATTAAATGGAAGCTGCTCAGCTTCCATTTCTCTCTTGCTTGCTGGAGCTTCTGGCTTCATAGTGTGGAATTGAATTTAAACTGGCGGTTGACAGATATGTACTCGAACATTTACAGCAACTGGAAAACATCCAGATTCTACGTTTGTTGATTCGTTGATGGAACCACATCAGAACACTGAGAACCACGAACTACAGTGTATACTGAACTATATGTTTCATTGGAGATCAGAAGACCCGCTCGAGTCAGCAGCTGAAGCATTTTTCTCTTGCCCACTGAGTTACATGTATTCTGTGAAGGCGACAGGTGAATGATTTAGAAGTTTTGAGGCCAATCATAAAATTGCTTATCAAGAATTCTTGGAGAAAAAACTTGTAGAACAGTTTAACAAACAATCTTAGTTGTAATTTTTTTTGACACTATCGTCTGTTATTTGTATCAATAAACATGTTTTAAACTTTACAAATGTTGTGTTGTTAGGTGTTGCTAAGTCATTAGGTGGCATATAGGTAATTAATGGATTAGGCAAACAATAATCTGCATAACTAAGTGTATCCCAATGGATAGATAGGGATATAATTACATGTTTGGTGTAAGCATAGTTTATTTGATTTTTATGTCAAGGAAACTGTAATGCCTTGGTGGCCGAATGGTATGGCATTGGGGTTTGTCCCAAAATAAGGGGGTTCGAGTCCCTTGCATGGCGAAATTTTTATCAAAATGTATAGCTGAGTTATACCCATCTTGGCAGAGATAAGTCCCGTATAGCAGATAGATCTATTACGAGGGCGTAAGACATTAAAATCTGGCGCGAGGCTTTGCGGGCAAAAATTTACACAAAAATTTAGATTTAAAACTTAGTACGGTCTACTTCTAAGAGCGTAACGTCTAGGTGTTCTTGTTATTTTTAAAGAGTTCTCATATTCTTGTCTGTCTTCTGGGAATAACTTTGCAATTTTCTCCGGCTTCATTGGAATATATTTTGGTCTGTCGCTCAATATAAAACGTTCATAATCCTCTTGCTTCCAGAGTCATTCGTGCTAGGTCACGTTCGGTCCAATCTGCTGGGTCAACCCAATTGTGGAGAAAGTTGCGCTTGAGTTTTGGTCGTTCCTCTTCTGTTGGTGGTGGCATAAGGAAATTAGGTTTAGGAGTAGCAGGTACTGGTGGTGTTATCTCAACAGATTCATTGGGTTGTGGCATCTCTGCAAGCACTTGTGGGATACTTTGAGCAGGAATTCCAGGAGAAGAATGAGCCATCTTATTTTTGAATACAAGAAACCGGTTTAGCTGATCAGAATATAATTTGCTTTTTTCCACGGCGCTAAGCTGTGCCGCTTCCATGATTTCTTTCATTCGCTACTTGGCATCATACATTGCATTTAGAAGCGGTGGTTGTTGATACGATTGTTTTTGTATAAACTTTGCAATCTCGCCGAGAAGTATATTCATCTTAAGTCGATCTTGATCACTCGTTGTTGGCTTTAAATCCAACATCAAATACCCATTAGGTCGACTTGTAGCATCTTTATAACTCCTCATAAATTCTTGCACTCTACCAGGATTTACTTGCCTTGCAAGCATAGAAATTTGCTGCTTATCTATATCTTGGTGACTTGAACAGCACAATATAATGGGCGTTTAGACTGATATTTCTCATTTCTTTGCCCTGATGAAATATATTTTGAACAATATAGTTGATGGACAAATTTCGATGATGACTTCCTTTCGTAAAAAGATCAGAAATATGTTTATCTTTGCCGGATTGTGCCGTAAGATCATCCAATATGATCAAATTCCATTGCGATATGTCCAAGTAATCTCCGTTGTCGATATCGTCGGGAATGCCTTTATTGAACTCTATTCCAGGCATCGTCCCCAACATATCAAAATAAGATGGCTGCCATTGACCATAACACCAAATGATACGTTGAGGAGGTGGACTTATTGTTTTCTGTGCTTTCTCCAAGAGAGATTTCACCCACACAGTCTTGCCACTTTGTGTACACCCAACTACGATACACATAAAAGGATGCTGCAAAACTGCAGATCCTGCTGAGATTTCAACTGGTTTGCTTTGAGGTTGCCGCATGTTGAAAATACTTTGGCATATATATTGCATGGAAAGGACATGTTCACACCACGAACGTCTAGCTGTAAGTGATAATAGGTTGATGTATTTGTTCTATATATTCATTTATGCATCTATCCAGTATTCTTCCTTATCTTCCATATATTTATCTTCCTTAACCTTATCTTTATATTCTTATCTTCCTTATATTTATCCTCTTATCTTCCTTATATTTATCCTCTTATCTTCCTTATCTTTATCATCCTTATCTTTATCTTCTTATCTCCTTATCTTTATCTTACTTATCTTTATCCTCTTATCTTTATCCTTATCTTTATCCTTATCTTTATCCTCTTATTTTCCTTATCTTCATCTTCCTTATATTTATCTTGCTTATCTTTATCTTGCTTATCCTTATCTTCATCTTCCTTATCTTTATCTTCCTTATCCTTATTGGCATTTCCTTATATTCTGTTCTCAATTGTCTTTTCCTTTATTCTGTTGTTGCCCTATGTTGTTTATTTATGTACGAAATTGTCGACGGGGTCATTTGACCAATTCGTTTCGCAGTGTTTTCCACCATTAAGGTTACAGAACACCCTTTTTGGCGTTTTGTGGAAAATCGCTACTGTGCGCTCAATATCAGTCCGATTTTCATCAAATATTCACCAAATGTTCTCCAGTGCGTGCAAACCCCCCCGGTTTTATTTTGTCTCTCAACTTATATTTTCCACAAAATATGTCGCTAGTGTCATATAAGTGCGCACAATGTTTTTAATAGAAAAACACATTCAAATACACTCAAGCTGTTCACATTTTTCTCATACACAGTTTTGTTAACAAGAATAAGTTTATATAATTTTAACAACTATACAGTTCGAGTGTATATTAATTTAAGTGTTGTCACACACATTCGTAATGTTGTCGGTGCTCTGGATTGTTCAAACTTGTACAGCGGGCAATTTAAAATTGCAGTCCAGCGCATACCAAACTTTAACCCTGCTTCGTAGCGTTTCATCATTGTTTTCAATCTTCTCTTCGCTTGTATGAGATGATGCCGTCTCACCATCGCCTTCGGTTTCCATGTCTTTCACTTCAATTCCGTTGGAATCTTGCTGTCTCAATTGCTCTGCCATGGTCCCCGTGCAGTTTTCCATGCATGATCATCCCTTTAATGCTACTTCGCGAGGCCGCAGCTTCTGATACTGAACTCTAGCCATGTTTGAGCTGTGTTTTTGGTCTTTGGATACCAATTGTTGTTCTACCAAATCTAAATTGTTTACGCTCTCCGTTTCGATAATCTGCCTGTACCTTGTCGGGTGAATGTACTTGCCTATCGCTTCAAACACGAGAATGCTAAGTAACTCAGTGAGCTTCTGAAATTGACTACCGCTTCGATTTAAAAGCAAATATTCACATTGTGGTTTCAGCAGGGGTCTCGCATATTGAACGGTAATCATTGACAATTTCCAAGCTGATCTCGTGGAAGTAAAGAGAATTGAACCCATATCTTTGTGCCGTTTTAAAAATGGTTTGATCGACCATTCCAGCGTTACTTTTTGCGCTTTCAAACATACGGACTGTCAAATGCTGGTAGATCATCGGTCGGCATCCTTTCACTCTGACAAACATAAAGACGGCAACAAATCTTGTAGCAAAAGTCAAGTTGGTTGAAGTGAAAAAAGATTTTTCCTGCACTCTTCTAGAATTGTTTTGTAGCGTTGTAAATGAAAGGGAATTACTGTCTGAAGTTCAGCAAGCGTAGCTCAACTTCTTCTCTATTCGAGGCTTGCAATATCTAAGTCTGTCGTCCAGTGAGAACGCATCTGCTTTGCTAAGCACATTGCCTTGCTCGTTTTATGTATAGTTCGGTAATGGAAAAATTTTGAAGTACGGGCCCTGAAGGTGCATGGAATCGATGGAAATCGAAAAGGTCAGAGATACTGTTTACGCAGCCGAGTCGACTAGATTGACCCATTTGCCAGGTGCTTTCGAGGTGATCAAGAAAGTCTGTTAGAAATTTGGAAGAACACAGAAAGTAATCGACAAGTTGGACATTTGACAACAGGTTTTGTTCATCCTCGCCCGATTGTTCACAACAATACTTCAAGAATTTAAATGCTCGAGTTACCAAGATTTCAGCATGTTTCCCTTGCCTTCCGCCACCAGTTGTGCTTTGTAGCCATGAAGAAAATAATCGTGCCAATTGTGACTTTGTAGCACAACACGGCAGTGTTGGTTTGCTTCCCGAGGAACAGGAATGATTCACATCAGGTTATCATTCGCTTTCGGCAGAAATTATGGGCTTCGTGTCAAAATATATATACCACAGATGTTTTGTTTTGACATGCTTTCAACAGCCTCGTTGACTCGCGAAACCATCATGTTCACAGCCAGGTGCAGGGCAATGGAAAAGACCTTTATCATTTTCTAAGTTAAGTCTTCGAGGTTTACTAAATGCCCCGTCAACAGTTTTCCAGTCTACGTGAATATGTTGACGAGGCATGCCAATTGTTGGGAAGCAAACAGTTAGCATGCAGGTTTCTTGACTCCTTATATACAGCGACAACTTGCTGGAATTAACATAATGCAAATGCACGATCAATTCTCTGGAGTGTCATGCATATAGCATGCAGTGAAATACGTGTTAGTCATGCATATTAGCATGCAGTGAAATACGTTAACATAATAGTAAAGGTAACAGCTAAGATTTTATTTTAAGTCGATTATGTTCGTCTTAACAACAACCTTCTATACTTTTTATTCAAGCAAGTAAGCTTCATGCAGACGCAAGGCTAATTTCAATGCAAGCCGGGCTAATTTCAATAGAGGACGGGCTAATTTCAATCGAAGCCTGGCTAATTTCAATAGCATCTTCAGGAGAGCATGATGTAATTTTTCAAGTTTAATGATTGCAATTTTTACTTGAAGTGTCTAATATAACGTCTAAGGCTACGAATTACAGCATTTGTAATAAATGTGCCAGGTTTTGTAAGTTCAAGCCCAACTATTGCTTATCTTTTTGCTTGCCTTTTAATAAAATTATGTCAGTTTAGCATTTGCCTAACTTTTTTACGGAACAGGGTAACTTTCAAAGAAGCCGGGCTAATTTCAATAGATGCCAGGCTAATTTCAATAGAGGACGGGATAATTTTAATGGAAGCCTGGCTAATTTCAACAGAAACTTCAGGAGAGCATGATGTATATTTTGAAGTTTAACGATCGCAATTTTTACTTTTAGTATCTAATAACCTCTAAAGCACGAATTACAGCGTTTGTAATACATGAGCAATGTTTTGTAAGTTCAAGCCCAACTATTGCTTATATTTTTGCTTGCCTTTTAATAAAATTATGTCAGTTAACATTTGCCTATACTTTTTTATGAAACAGGCTAACTTTAAAAGAAGCTGGACTAATTTCAATAGACGCCGGTCTAATTTCAATGGAAGCCGGGCTAATTTCAATAGAAACTTCAGGAGAGAATGATGTATATTATGAAGTTTAACAATTGCAATTTTTACTTGAAGTATCTAATAACCTTTAAAGCACGAATTACAGCAGTTGTAATAAGTGTGCAAGGTTTTGTAAGTTCAAGCCCAACTATTGCTTATATTTTTGCTTGCGTTTTAATAAAATTATGTCAGTTTAGCATTTTCCTAACTTTTTTACGAAACGGGCTAACTTTTAAAGAAGCCGGGCTAATTTCAATAGAAACTTTAGGAGAGCATGATGTATATTTCAAGTTGAACGATTGCAATTCTTACTTGAAGTATCTAATATAACGTCTATGGCGACGAATTACAGAGTTCGTAATAAGTGTGCCAGGTAAAAATATTAATAAAATTATGTCAGTTTAGCATTTGCCTAACTTTTTTACGAAACAGGCTAACTTTAAAAAAAGCAGGGCTAATTTCAATGGAAGCTGGGCTAATTTCAATGGAAGCCAGGCTAATTTCAATGGAAACTTCAGGAGAGCATGATGTATATTTTGAAGTTAAACGATTGCAATTTTTACTTGAAGTATCTAATAACCTTTAAAGCACAAATTACAGCACGAATTACAGCGTTTGTAATAATTTTATTAAAAGGCAAGAAAAAATATAAGCAATAGTTGGGCTTGAACTTACAAAACCTTGCACACTTATTACAAATGCTGTAATTCATGCTTTAAAGGTTATTAGATACTTCAAGTAAAAATTGCAATCGTTAAACTTCATAATATACATCATGCTCTCCTGAAGTTTCTATTGAAATTAGCCCAGCTTCCATTGAAATTAGCCCGTCCTCTATTGAAATTAGCCTGGTGTCTATTGAAATTAGCCTGGCTTCTTTAAAAGTTAGCCCGTTTCTTAAAAAAGTTAGGCAAATGCTAAACTGACATAATTTTATTAAAAGGCAAGCAACAAGATAAGCAATAGTTGGGCTTGAACTTACAAAACCTGGCACATTTATTACAAACGCTGTAATTTGTCGCCTTAGACGTTCTATTAGATACTTCAAGTAAGAATTGCAATCGTGAAACTTCAAAATATATACATCATGCTCACCTGAAGTTTCTATTGAAATTAGCCCGGCTTCCATTGAAATTAGCCCATCCTCTATTGAAATTAGCCGGCTTCTTTTAAAGTTAGCCTGTTTCGTAAAAAAGTTAGGCAAATGCTAAACTGACATAATTTTATTAAATGGCAAGCAAAAATATAAGCAATAGTTGGGCTTGAACTTACAAAACTT